AGCATGGAGAGGTGGAGTCAAGGTCGAAATTGGTAGGGCATCACTCACTATATAAAACGTAGTTTGGACCTAGGGCACTACAGGCGACGCGAAAAAGTGGTGGTCCCTTAGTGGTCCCCGTTGAGAATTGCGAGATACACCGTTGTGGGCGGAGCGTGCGCCGAGGTGGGCGGAGCCAGATTTAAAATTCGCAAAACGGTTCCAGAGCACTCCAGACACCGGGAAAAAGTGTATTAATGTCAGTGATGGGTCACGGTTGAGAAGTGCGAGGCACACCCGTTGTGGGCGGAGCGTGAGGAGAGCTGGGCGGGGCCAAACGAAAAAGACTTTGAAACGTTCCCAGAGCAGTCCAGACACCGGCAAAAGGTGAGCAGAGGTGTGCAAGTCCTCGGCCATTGAAGTGAGATAGACACGCCCATTGTGGGCGAAGCAGGTGTCGAGGTGGGAGGGGCAAAAGTCAAAAATTCACGAGTTGCTTGCAGAGCAGCATATGCACCGGGGACATGTGGACTGAAGGTCACAAGGGGTTAGTGGATGAAATGGGGCAGACATCCTCAAAATGGGCGGGACGTACTCGAGATGGGCGGTGCTTGCTACGAAATTTTATATTTCGGACCTGAGTGACTTTAGGGATCACAAAAAGTCGTTGGAGAAAAGAAACATACAGCGAAGGTTGAGTGTGTCTGTGGTGTATAGAGACGTCCACAGTGAGCTGTGCGTGCCCTCAAGCACGAGCTGCCAACTTTTGCTGAAGTTCAGTGCATCGGCAGCTATGCACTTAACACTTAACCTGGTCGTATAAGATATCAGTCGGCTCGCCGGCTGACGCCGGTGCGCCTCCTCTGTGATACGGCCCGGCCTTGCCGGGCGGGCGTGGCTTCGTCTACCCTACCTGCTTTCGTACGTTCAAATGCACGACTGATACCCGGCTCTGTCATCTCTGCACTTCATCAATGCTCCTTACCATAATGTCATGCACAGTAATAGTGTTGAAAATAGCAGGTATGAGGTTATTGGTCAAGGAACGTTGGTCATCTGTTCAGATAAAAGAAGAGCCGCATATTAGCTGGATATATATCATTTTCACTTCAAATTCACCACCTT